CGATTTGCATTACGGCTGCCGTGTACTCACCGCCCGCGCTTAGAACCCGCTGGAGCGTGGTCCTCAGGGTCTCTTCCGTGGCGCCAGCGCATTCTAGGAAAAGACCGTCGTCGAAATTGTAACAGGGACAGCCGGGGATCATCTCGGATGGCGGACACTCGGCCATCTGAGCCACGGCGAGGTTCTGGATCAGCAGGATCTGTAGGATCAGCCGCACGGCGCGTCGCGTCGCGGCGCGGCATCTTCTTCGCCATCTTTCCGGAGTCATCGTGCCGTCGTGTTCGTTACTGAATTCCGTGTCGCTGGAGGACGACGCTGGAAAAACGAGAAACACGATTTGAAGGTTTTGCATGGATGTAATTAGTGTCGGTTAAATGGTCGTTGAATCTAGTTTGTTTTAAAAGTGAACTCTGCGGACGTATCGACACTCTGGATATCAAACTCTTATATTTGTAATAAGTTGCACAGTTTAATTGCCACAATATCAAGAGAGTGCATTGTTTCTTTCCTCTATTGTTTAACACGTCAACTGCCACGTCGGTCACCGGAGCTTCCAAATTTGACAATAATTACAATTTGTCAGATAACTAATGTCGAATGGAAATATTTCACAGCGTAAATTATTACATACTATTACTATTAGATACTAAATAATAAGTAACTGTTCTTTATCTTTGCTACGAAAGAATAAGTGCGACATAGAACTCTGAAGGTTCTCGTGGCAGTGAACGTTTTAACACTAACACCACCGAGCAGTTCAATTGACTTTTGAAAATTCGCTACAGGAACTCCAAGAGTGTATCTGTTCGGACTTTAATTGATTTACAATTGAATTTGCATAGTGCTAAATGAATTTCTTTAATAATTTCTCAGAGAAACATTTGTTACCTTTCTAATACTTGCAAAAAGAAGACATCATGAGTCATTTGACCCCGCTGGTAGTTTTAGTGTTAAGCATTCGATGTGTAATTCGACAGGATCTGCCTTAAGTTTCGTATATTATAAATAATCTTCGTCCTTAAAGGGTTAATATCTCTATCTAAGAGTAATCCATGGTAAGCTATACTAGGATGTAGTTCGGATTTCCACGATGTCGCGAAACATCGTCGCAAGTAACAACTTGAAACGCAGTTATTTCCAAAATCCGGTTCCTGATAGACGAATTAGATATTTAAATCATCATTGAATATTCAAAAGTTTATTTCCCACGCGAACGGAGTGGAAGCCGAGGACGCGGCGAATACGTGTCGCGCGAATGAAACAAGCGCTTAGAACGGTCCGCTTTCTCGCGGAATTCCCCGGACCAGCGGAAAAAGCAGTTAATCGGGAGATTTCAGAAAGTACGCGAACTAATTCCCGCGAACGGAAATATCCTATGGAAATATCACGCGGGAACGTGAGCTGCGCACGCGCGCTCGCGCTCAATACGTGTTTTGCTTTAATAGAACTTCCAACACTGGAAAGTTCTGCATTTTAATTTGAATTTAATTGCGCAACGAGCGGCGCTGCGCGCGGTATATATTTCCGAGAAAAGAGAGCGCCGAAGGGCTGGCTGGCCGCGTTCAATTATCGCGATCGATGGCGGCAATTCAAACGGTAATGAACCTGTCGCCGTAAGAAGAGTACCGTCTAGTTCTTTTAAGATATTTCCCTTTTTCCTCCGCACCCCCCTCCTCTCCCCGGCCCCGCTGCCGCCCGCTCGAGCTTCATTCTTATCCGCCTTCGTTATCGTCATCGAAGCGGGAAATATTAAGGAGGGCCGAGGGAAAACTGTCATTACGATGTCCTAGCTCTCAGTCTTTTAATTATAACGAGACGAAACGCCGCGCCGGCGGAACGCAGCTGCGATTTAATAATCTTCCTATTATCTTAATGATAACGTCAATCCTTATCCGTCCCCTCCGCGTCTCGAAGGAACACGAATCTCGGCCGAGCCGGCGCGACGAGGAACGTTCCACTTCGCCACGTTGCCTCGCTGCGAACAATTTCTCCCGGGGCGTGAATGTATCACGTACAATGGTAAATATTAAACGTGCAAATTAATTCGTCGCTCTCTTATTCGGTCGACTAAAAATTCCTTTGAAATTTAAACAGTTTCGAAGTCTCCACTTTCATCTCGAACGTACACAGATATCCGGAGCAACATGGAATATTCGGAAGAAACGCGGGATGTACGATATTCTTAGAAATATAGGGGAAACCTGTTTTTAAATGTACATGAAATTCATTTACTGCAACTAATAAATGTTCGAATAGATAATTAACAGGGAAAAATGAAATTCGTAGTTTTCCGGCTGATTAATAATTATATCATAACGGGCAGAAGGTCTGATATTTTCAGACGTCGTATCGCGCGTCAGGCTTTCCCTAATTAAAACGTTAATTAGCTGACACCGGGGCGGGGTTCGTCGACATTTCGCCGGAAGAGATCGGGAGCGGCCGCGCTTCGTTTTAACACGCGTATCCGGCGACCGAACGGCCGGCCTCGATCCGCTGCTAATAATTTCGCAAGGAAACATCCTATCAAGAGGATCAGTTAAATAGTCACCCGCGGCGACGTTGTCGATGATTCCAGACGAGCTTCCGTCTGCGTGGCGTCCGGCTTTAGCATACCGGAAACGCGCGATTCACTGTACGCGCCGCTCGCGCACTCTTTTTATAATTCTTCTCGCCTGCGCGTTCTCCTTTCGTTCTGAGCAAATTATTCGACCAATTCAGCATTTCTATTAATATTCGCTTCTCTCAATCTTCTGTCTCTCTCTCTCTCTCTCTCTCTCTCTCTCTTTCTCTCTTTAACACTTCGACTGCCAAGTAAATAACCATCGAAACTCCCATGCAATCGAAACATTTCTCTTAAAGCAAAAACTAAAAGGGCAAGGTTCTTCGTAACGATTACATTACTACTCTCCTTATATCTCACACATTCAACGAAACTTCGTTCGATGAGTCACCAAAAAAATGAATAATCAAGATTACGTTAAAAATGGTTTGAAGGGCAGTCAAAGTGTTAATAATAAATATTTCAATCATCTTCAATAGTATATCGTACAATACTACATACGAAATTGAAGATGTAATAAACATTGATTCAATTATAATGAAATCATTCAAGAATCTTGAAATCTCAGATCATCAATTATTTCTTCATCCCAGTTCTCGAACCACTCACGAGAATGAATATTTCTATGAATATCCACTTGATAAGATATAAATCGTAATATTTTAACACTAGAACTACCGAGCATTTAATACGATTAATATGCAATTATAAAAATTGTAACAATAGATTATTTTCAGTTTCTTCTGACATTCATTATACGCAAATGAAGCTATTTATTTTCAAAATCATTCCGAATATTCAATGCTTCGAAGATATCAATAATTGCTAAACGAAAAAATCGAAACCAGTCATTAAATTACGACAGAACTATTTGAAGTTATTTTAAAGATTATTACTTTAAAAATTGTCCTACATCTTTTTGGACTTTCTACATTCGAATACCTCAGGAAATGTAACACTAGAGATTCTCTTCAATATTCAAATGTCATACAAAATTGTTCATTGCACGATTTTCGTTCATTAACCCTTGCACTCGAGAGGTGACTCTTACTCACCACTCGATTTCATACAGTAAAACTATAAAATTTGATATTTAACATTACATCACGTACAACGCATCAATCTGGTGTTAACCGAATACTTCTATCCTTCGTTGTACGTTTAGTACAGAATGTTACAGGAGAAACGTTTATTATTTTACGTTTGAATAAAGCGTATCGCGTGCAAAAGAAAGAGAACGTGTGAAATTTTTCTGGCCAGAATTTCCGTTGGCAACGACGCGGTCCACGGAGCGGCATCCGCGTTTCGCGGATCAGGTACCAGATGTAGATGGCCCGTCGCTGTTAACGGGTCGCATAAATAGCGACCTTCCGGCGTGCAGCGTAGCCGGGACACACGGGTTTCCGTGCGAGACACATTCTGAATGCAGCGATTTCCTGCAATAACAATCGCGGAATTATGTATGCCGGCTGCGTGGGTCGCGGATCCGAGCCGAGGCTCCGCATCTGCTGCACCGTGTCGCGCGGATCATCGTTAGGCCAGCCAGAGTTACGCGACACGGCTGCGCGCGGCCGCAAATCTTTCGTGATGCGAACAGGAAGCGCGCCGGCTCGCGGAGTAATTGTGTCAGGGTCATCGTGCTCCTCAATTTCGATTAGAATCCTTGGCTTTCTGAACTATGTCTACAGGAAAGTTCTGTCCGTTCTTCGATTAACACGCGGAATGCTATTTGGGTCACCGGTCACCCAAATCGAATTACTATAGTTCACTCGATTAACCCTTTGCGAGCGAATGTCTACATCTTGGCGAGATCAAGTTTTCATGTTGAGAATGCTAAGTTACAAATAATTTAATTATTCTGATTAGAAGAGATCTGTACGTAGTTGTTTGAGCAACCGATGTGTAATTTAGCTTCGTTGCTGAAGTTTTGTGTTTTAAAGAATCTTCATCTGCGAAGGGTTAAACGGTGATTATTTGTTTGGTTGTCGCATTTTTATATTATAAAGAATGCTAAGTCACAAACGAATGATTTAATTACTCAAAGTAGATTTGAGAAATTGGAATAATTATTAACGTTTGGATTTATCGGGGAAGATTTTATGATTTTATCATTTAGTTTGATTGTCGAAGGCTTTCAGAGAATACTTTTGACATTTAGCAGTATTCTAGAACTTGATAACCTATCAGTACTGAATTGCAATGTCAGGCATCGGATACTATCGATATTATATTCCATGGTCCATATCCCGTTCCATAATTCCGAGATAGTTCAGTCCAAGGCATGGAGTTTAAGATAACCGTGAGTCAAAACTTACTAATTGGTAACTTCAGGACCGAAGATGTTTGTTAGTTGGATCGGACCGTAATGTACCTGCTAATAAGTTTAACCTCTTACGGTGCCGATTAAGAAACTCTGCGTCTTAGAGACGCTATTAATAACTTTCAACCGATGAAGTTTCTAACCGTCTCAAGCGTTGTAAAACAAGCTAAAAAACGGTCGTGTCGCGGGAAAAGACAGACTCAATATACAACATTCCCTACCACTTTCTAATATTCCCTTATTGACTATCAACATAAAATTATCATGTAATTCAAAAGCAAACCTTCTCGTTTATATACGAAAAACAAGTCCTACTCCCGAATAAATTTTGAAATATCGTTTAACCCTTTGCACTCGAAAGTTTCTCAATGGAAATATTCAACATTTTCTGACGAGATACAGGTCATATCGTTTGAAACTAATTTAACGATAATT